ACGTATGTAAAACGTATATGAACCACCATATGCTACCTAAAACGTTTTTTTGATGGACATTTTTACATTTGATAAACGTTTCTATAACATGGTTTTGAAACGGTACATGTAAACGTTCAGAAATGGTTTCGAAACCAATACGCGCTACCTGGGATGGCTATCGACGAGCATCAATCCTAAGAATGTTTTTGTCTCGAGTTTTTGTAGAGTGAAACTCTAACACACAGGTCTAATCTGTTGTTTGCTGGGAGGGACTCGTGCGTTTCAGTTTTATGGTTTGCTAGTCGATATCCGTTGATTTCTAAGTTTATATTTGTAGTTCGTTCGGCCCCAAGGAAAAATATTCTTTATGGTTTTACGAAAGAGAGAAATTGTGGAGTTCACAGGATGCAACACCAGTTTTGACAGATTTTAATTTTATGGAACGGCATACACTCTATTTCCAATGCATTTTGTATTTCCAATAGTTGACGAGATCGAATGATTCTTCGCCCTCAATATTGCCTATTTTGATTCATTTTTTGAGACACAATATTGCGTGCTATTTTGAATTTTTTATCCACGATTCTGATGCTTTAAATTCTTATGCATTTTCTTCTTCTTCCGTTTGAGAAGTCCATCACTCATCGTCGATCTCAATATCGAGAATTATCGAACTCACATTGTGATATTAATTTTTTCACTTTTTGTATCATATATTTTTATCTTGCTCAATAATGCAATAATTTTATTTTGACCAGATCCTAAAAAGGTAGAAGCAGTACAAAATTTTTCAATTCCTAAAAGTACAAAAAACGTTAAACAATTTCTCGGTTCTACATATCATCAAATACACTCCTGTGGAAGTAAAAGTTCGACACACCCAGGAATGTTACCAGCAGTTACCAGTATTCAAAGGAAACGAATCATACTTTTTGGCTCCTAGGACTCATATACTTTTTAAAACTGGAAGCCAGACAACATGCAACAGAATTATTCCAACAATGTATTTATTAAACGACGGATGGTATCATATAACACCAATTTTGGAATACAACAAACCTCCAGAAACAATGAGACCGATGTCTCAACTAACTTGGTATTACAGCGATCCCGAATTATTAGCAGCGAGCGGCATATACTCAAACAACGAGCTGGAAAATTTACGAGACTATATCATGTTTCCAGCAAAGAAGAACGGAATTCTAAACACTGTGGCTAGAGCTGTAAGAGGAGCCAACCTTATCGCAAGGAATAGATATCTCGCTCACATCTGCTTGACGAAACTTCATTGAAAAAAATAACCGAAGACACTTGGAAGAAAATTTGTGGGATATTTACATTTGTTGGCAATGCTAGTGCCGGAGTAATTGGAATCTATTTCCTATTCAGAACAATGAAATTTTATAATAGACACAATCATACGAGTACATGGTTATGCAATTCATACTATATATGGTTGGTCAATACATTTAATCGGAGCGCTATGGGACTCTGTAACAAATTTATTAATTCACCTAGGCAAAGGAAGAACAATTAAAGAAAAAGAACAAAAAGAAGAACAACCTACAAAAACTCACATAACTCAAGAAATCGCAATTTAAACAAATGAAGAAGATACCAAACCAACTTTAATATTAACAGAAAACATTAAAGAACAAAACGATTTAATTTCAGTAGAAAATGAAAAGAAAACAATTATTATCCACAATGAAACTCAAAGTCTTTACCCGCGATTATAATAATAAAATTTTAAATGAGAACACCATGTATGAGAATATCAATTACAGACATGTGTATTATCTATAGGTTTAAGATTACAAGCGCAAGAGGGTCAAGCGTTTAGAACCCAGTCGAATTCTAAGTTTGAAAGCGTGACGACGTATAAAAAAAAGAAAAAGGGTGACTGTCTAATTGAAAGTTTAAAGTGACAAGTTTTTCTCAGCAGGTAAAATTTTATTTTATTTAAAAAAAACATATATAAAATTTTTTTTAGAAAAAAATGAAATTACCGACAATGGAAAATCAGGAGATCATTATTGACGGGGTAGATCCCTGCCAGCACGAATTTTATGAAATCCTAAATAGAAGCCATTGTTTCCGGGCAATCGAATCCGGAAACCATTATTTAGAAGAACAGTATCCATTTAGGCGCATCTGCGCAAGCTACGCCATAAATTAATTATCTTTCTTGGAAAACTAGCACACCTTAATTATGTGGGCAACTTTTTGAAATTAAAAGAAAAAGCAAAAAAAAAGAAATATGTCATATTTGCAAAAAAACTATAGTAACAGCACAACCAGCGATTAACTGTAAATTTTGTTTACAAAATTATTTATAATTTTTTAAATAATTTTAATTTTAAATAAAATTACTATATTATATTATAAGGAAATGAAATTCTCTTTTACAAAAGTGTGAAGCATTATTTTCAGAAAAAGTTTATTAAAAAGAAGAAAAAACACCATAAACATCACAAATATATATATTGTATTTAGCAAGAAATTAATTGTTTTTTATGACAAAACTATTATATTTAAGAAGAAATAAATTAAACTGAAACTTAAACGCCATTTTTAGGACCTTGGCAAGGTGGTGGCTATTATATTACTAACATAAGTGAATCCATATACCATATTTTATCCTACCTTTTACTGCGCGCCGTTACTATCGGACATATAACACAGATTTTCCCCTAGGTAGGATCATTATCGTCAGAGAATTCACGTGAAATAAATTGTTAAAAAATAGCATTATTATATTAGATGAAAAAATTTAATTAAAAGCAAGAAGAAACGAAAATACCATTAAAATTGATGAAGTTTGTAGAAAGAAATAGATGCAAAAATAGTCTGATTGTACTGTCTTAAACGTTTATTTGTAGATAAACTCAATAAATAATAATAATTATAATAATATTAATATCTTGTTACAGTGACTTAAATGTATACACTTAGTTTTCATAATTTACACGGATTTAATTTTCAACGAGTAATAAAATGACGAAAACTCTATACATACATTCATGAAACCATTCGCTTTTTTCAACACAGAAGGAAAATATCGTAGTACTCCTGCCGAGTAGCAATGTAGGTGTGCTGATTGTAGCTTAAACTGTATTATACACAGGAATCTTTGCCATATAATTACTGTAAAAGTTCAACAAATAATCTCATCTTCAAAAGGCACGAGTGTTTTGTCTCCATCGCGAAAATCGGAATTCTCCCGTCAGGACTTAATCCCTTCATTATTATAAATACATCCTACAACAACGCATTTGCTTTCACGGAAGAAGAGATTTTGAAAATCTTAATTATTTTAGAAAATTTCGAATCTCTTATCCTAAAAATTTGGAATTCAAAAAACTTTACATCTCTTTATGTGTATATATTAATTTGAAGATGAATTATTACAATTTTATATGTATATACAATAAATTTCCATTCTTTTTTTCAACATAAATTAAAAAATTTATTTACCTCTTATTTATTTTTCCAAGCTTAGATGAGACGTCAGACCGAATAAGGGCAATTATCGCATAAATTGCTAAAATTAAACATGCTTTATGTACAAGGAGAACACATCCTAATTTTCTCTCACAATCCCAACGGGAGGTTTATCGAAATCATAGAATAATTTATTGCGGATAAACAATCAAAACTTGCAAACCGAAGACTGAAGTAAATCGCCTCAAGGCCTGTGTCCACGATGCTAGAACTTGGACTAGCATCGTGGACTCGGGCCTTTACGAACTTTGCGTCGCAGTATACAAAAGTCAACTCAGACGGAGAACTCACAAAATCACGCGATGAACCCTATAGAATATACAAAATATCAATTTTTTAAATATATTTATTGTCAATAGACACTATACTACGAAAAATAAATCGTGAAAATTGTTACCCGCGAGCATTTGGCAAAAGCAGCTGCGGAGTAGCAATATTTCTTTTTTCCGTTCGATGTAGTATTTTGACAAAAATAGCTCTTAGCAATCATACTCATAATTACAAACTATCACTGGAGATATCGCTGTGACGGGCATTATAATTCGCTGTAAACTGGGACATAGCACGAACTCGCCAAGAGCTTCGTGGAATAACACGTGATCATAAAAAATAGAAAAAGTTGTACATATTGTATCGCGTACTTTACATTAGTATAATTGCATGATGCGTCGTAATGATAAATATATCACCAAATTCTATTGTTCAATTTGCTTTCTTTCGCATTTCCAAATTTTAGTCCAAAGAGCAAATTAAAATTACGGAACGGACGTTATTCCACTCTGTGCTATTAGATGAAAGTCCCTTTTCAAAATTCTCACAAGCCCAATCTACGAGACTCTCGCCTGACAAGTCGCGATTCGAACATAATTGTGCGTATTGTTTCGTTTCAACGACTTGATTGAATTATGCACAATCGTCTTGCACGTGAAATTCGATTGCCTCGTCGTCCAGAGCTCCGTCTCTTTGCTCACTCGAGACGCAATAAGATCTTCAGTTTACGTAAAATCACTAATCCGTATCTTCGTGCGTCTGAGAAATATACAGGGTGAGTTGTAAAGGTTGTCCCAACCTTTTAAGAGGTGAATTACCGACCGCTACTATAGCCAACTCTGGAAAAAATGGATAAAATCTCGTTCTACATGTCTCGATCATGTAATATCTAATTACATTTCTCGAGAAATAATTAAATATTGCACGATTGAGACGTGTAGAACGAAACTTTATCCATTTTTTCCCCGAGTTGGCCACAGTTGCGGTCGACAATTCATCTCTTATGGTAAAAGGTTGGGACAGCCTTTACGACTCACCATGTATATACGCTCGAGAGAACCGCTCTTTATCGGATACGATATCAATGACAGGACGTATAGCGTACAATGCTTCCAAGATTTCATTGCTGACCTCGCCAAAACGATCGAGACTATCTTTGCGTCGACGGAGATGAACGTGGATGCCCAGAATTTAATTTAAAAATATTGCCCCTACAGCACCAAAGCTTTCAGAAACATTTCAGAAAACATTCTTGCAATGTTGCAATGTTTCTGAAATGTTTCTGAAAGCTTCGGTGCTGTATGGGTGAGTCCCATGAGGCAGATTAATTGGACTTGATCAAAGCTCACACAAATTTCCTGAGAAACCTCGAAGATTGCAAAATCAACTGTCTTCTTGCACTTCTCTGGTCTCATGTCAGATAAAGACATCGATTGTCTCTTGAAGCTCGATTGCGTACGTGCCGCATGATTACCGCATATCACCATTGCCTTGCGTATTTAAGCCAGCGGACAATTATTTTCATAAGGCATAGAGAGAGAGAGAGAGAGAGACAGAGAGAAAGAGAGAGAGAGAGAGGGGGGGGGGCGCATTTCACGTAATCTGAGAAACAAACTCGAGCAAGCGCTCGACCGAGACATGTAGGAATTCCTCTTGAAAGAAATGCATCTACAGGTCGACGTCCTCCTGCTTGGCCCTAGGCGCGATCTTTTCGTCGCTCTCAGACTCCTTCGCGCTCACATGAACGTCCGCCACCTCGACCGGCGGCGGCGGCGCCGGTTTCACCGAGTTGTCGTCCTCGGCGACCTCGAAACCGATCGTGGCTCCGATCTTCTGGCTCGCCTGCTTGAATGAATCCGATAGCATCACCTGGCGACACACGATTAAACGGATTAATTTGATCGGATTTAATGAGCATTGTTCTCCCACGTATTTTTGCATCACCGGTTTTTAATTCTCGGCAATTCTCTTGAATCAAAACAGTCATATTACTTTTTGTAAATGGACGAATATACATATAAATACGCCGTATGTACAGGGGATATTGTGTTGAATGGGAAATACACCATCGAGATTGTTGTTGCCAATTAAAAATTATTTTACTCGGCGTCTCTTGGATATTATTATTTAAATTTATGTCAACGTGAAAATTATTCTGTCTAGAAATGAAGATGAAAAGGAATATTAAAGCATTAAAATCAATGAGTAATAGTAAAGGTGTATTTTAATTTTCACTGTACCGTAACTAAGGACTGCAAAATTATGTGAAAAATAGAATTATGTTGTTTCACATGGCTACTATTAATTATTATTATTATTACTAATACAAAATATTACTAATTATAAAATTAATAATTTTTTTTTTATTGTAGTCCGCTCGATACTTGACACATTATCTGTAGAGCCTAATCTACAATGTGCTCTCTGCATCTAGAAACTTTTATTTTATATAAACAAATTGAAACGCTTAAAAGAATTGTCGACAATGTACATACAATTATACAGTGTGTAACATACAATTTATCCACTTGTGCAAATTTTTTAAATGTATTATACTTATTGACTACAAAATAGAATGTTTTTAGACGCAAAGAGCACACTGTAGATTAGGCTTACGTAATTATGAATAATCATGGACAAAAATATTCTTAAAAACAAAAAGAGTAAGATATATAACAATTAAAAACGTATAGAGAACTCAAGAATCAAATCAAGGATAACACGAATCTACAAGTGCAGATGACTAGTCAGTCTAGTTAACTGTTTTCTTATTGGATTGACCTGATTAAACTAGTTTCAATTAGAAGCTATTGTAAGGAATACAGTTACGTAATTGTGTGGATATCTGCGGATATCTTATGTCAGTCTCGATTTGTCGTAATATATTGTTGCCTATAATGTATACAATATATTGATTTCTCTAACACTTTGAGTGCTAAACTGATTTTGATTTTAAACTGGAGGTGCAAGTATAATTATAAAGTATACAAAATCACATTACAAAATAAAGAACGTAAAAAATAAATAAAAATAAAGAAATATATTACGCGTAACAAGCAGAAGAATAAAATAATGCATAATTCTCTTTGTAACAAATGTGATAAAGTTAACAAATAATTTTAATACTTCATTACTTTCTAAATGTCTAAATGTAAAAAACAGTATATTACATCGTTCTTTTTCTGTTTTAAATACGTGATAAATTCATTCTTAATCGAATGTAAAAAAACCCACAAATGGATGCCGGAGCTCATGTGTCATAAAAATATAAGTAAAAATGAAAGTATTAAAAGAGAATTGTTGTCGCTCACCTGCACGACATTGATGCACATAGACGTGAGCGCCAGGCCGAACACCAGGTATACTATCGAACACATCATGAATATGGGATGCTAAATCAATCAATGAATGAATCCGTTAAGTTCTGTGAATCGTAGATGTCGCAGAGTGTTTATACATAACTTCATCAACTATGATTTACTTCATTGATTAACAAAACGAGTGAAAAAATAAGCTTGTGACAAACAACAAATATATGTATAGGTATACGGTGATGTGCCTTTCTATGGAGAAAGGCCTTACATGTTAAAAAGCTTACCATCTGAACGCCACCGTGAAAAAAAAGAGACACGAGAGTAAATTAATTGCTTGCCATACAAAATGGGAACTGTCGTGAGATTGCAAATAAAATTCGAGAGGCGAATTCAAAGAGGCGCTAAGGGCAAATCAAACGGAATTCGCGGATTTCTATGTGCGACCTAACAGATAGCAGTCATGACGAATGATAAATAATTGCTACTTAAATGAATACGCTAATTAGAGAGCCTCCCACTAATTCCACTCAAGTAACTCATTAATCAACACCTCACTTTCGTACGATTTACCTCTCGACTTACATCGACCATTACTCATGTCTATCGAAGTCGATGAAGAAATCACAATACAAATTTTTATCTACGAATTTACGAAGAGTATTATTATTAATAATTAATTATTTTGTTCAGTCGAATGGCATTTGATCCGAGGACAATCATAAGATAGCGTACCTTCGGTACGTAATCGCCGAAGCCGATGGTACTCATTGAGATGAAGACGAAGTAGAAGCTCTCAAAGAAGTTCCAAGGTTCCCACATTGAGTATAGAGTGGCGCCTATGAAGATGTAAGCCAGAAGAATGATGATTGCCACCGAAATCGGTAGATTGAACTCGTCGTCGATGGCGAACGCCGACAATGCCGGCGTACCCGGCGAGTCCGGCGCGCTGGCATCCACATTCAGAACTGTCTGCGGCTCCTGTGCCTGCTGCCGCTGCATTTCCTGGATCTCCTCCGGATTCATTTGCGAGGGTCGCCGGAATTTGGCGAGATCGTAGACGAGTTGCACGCCCTTCATAACTTCCTGGAATTTCCACAGAAATTACTAGTTGACCGGACGGGTCGATCGAAAGAAGTAACGCAACGAAAGTAGAGTACAAAAATATACTGAAAATGCATAAAGTCATAAATTGAAGATACTGTGAAAGGGAACTCGGAAATTGGCTTTATTTCTCCTTTAACGATAGACTCTTTTAAAGCGCTTGTATTATCTTACCTGAACAGGTACAGTACGACGGACTTTGCGACAGCTACCAGTGTAGTACAACCTCCTTACGAATACCCACAGAAACTTTATACCGCGTGTAAATAATTTACCAAAGTCGGCCAAGATGATAAGAAACATCGGGATGCCGAAAATAGCGTACACAATCGTGATGGCTCTTCCTGTGTCCGTACTTGGTGAGATGTGTCCGTATCCTGCAATGAAAAATTATTAAATCGTTAGTCAGAGAACGGTATTGCATTGCAATGATTTACACTACGTTTCTTTACGCGGCATTTATCTTGAAAGAAAAAAGCTCCACAGTTGCCATGTTAAAATTTATACAGCAATTTATTATAAAACTTACATTTAATATATTTTTTATGTATAACGTCTAAATTAAATGTAATAAAATTATTTTTAACGTAGTTTTATTACATAAAACATGATGTTATTATACATGATAAGATTATATTACACGCATACTTTTATTATACACATATAATAAATAAATATATATATATAATATATTCTTTTAGTATAAGTAAAAGATCTAATGTTCATGTTGCCAAGTTTGATTGTACAACACGTATATGGCATGAAATAGTAAGTCACATTAATTTCTTTGCGTTAGTTTCTGAATCGTCGCTGCAAAAGCGACGCATTTACGCACGTCGTGAGTAAAGTCTAAGTTTAGATTATTCAACGAGGCTAAGACGGTTGTTTTCTCGTAAACTGGCTTGCTTTGGCTCGTACGATTCAGTGAATGCAATTGAACGATTCGCTTATACGATTAATGTACATATAGCTGAAATTTAAATTCTAATGTTTTTTTCTTCTGTGAGTTTGTCGTCTGATTGAAAAAAAAAACGGGCCCGTTGAGCGTTACATAATGCGAGTCAACGATGCCGAGCTTTCTCGTTTTGATCCAAATTTATCGCGTCTTGGCGATCTAAATTTTAAAGATATATGTATAAACAATAGATTCAAAGTGTTTAAAGCAGAATTTAAAACAATATCAAAAATTAATCGTCAATTTGTTCATTATTTTCTATTTTATATTATAATTCTCAACAATGTTCTTGTGTCTCAATTACTAGGTTTTTCACCTTTTTATGCAATTAAAATAGATGTGTTTAAACAAATGTTTCTTTTCTAATCAATTTGTATTCCGTACATTTCTCTTGAGGCTTTGCATATATTATACCGTCAAAATTTTATTGTGTTTGTGCGTCGAAAAATCAATACGGGACTCATAAAACGTTCTACGTTCACTTATTCGTGAGCTTTCACAACGCATGCGAGTATCTGATATATGTATACGGATATAACTATCTTAATTTTGCGTGCCAACTTGTTCTGAAGCAAGTCGTCGTTGATACAGCGTTAATTCATCTTTTCAGAGTAATCAAACCGTCAACAGTTGTAAGACTATCTATAAACAATAGAAGGAAGGGTGTTAATATGGAATTCAATTTTGTTTTTAAGATTTCTTGTAAATTATATGCTCAATGTTTTCAATTCTGGTATGCTTAAGTTCCTTATTCCATTCACATTCATTTCTAACTTTTAATTCGTAATTCTCCACATTCTTATAAGATAAGCTGTACGAAGAAAATCGAAAAGTGAGCAGTTGAGCGGTGAGACATAATGTGCTGGTAATATAAACGCCGTACTTTTTGAGTGCAAGAAATAAAAAAAATTCACGAAACGGAAAATAACTTTTAAAAAATATTTTATTTATGAAAAGAAATGTAAAGGAACGTATGGTGGGAAATAAATCACTATTATTGTTTAAAAAATTTTTTTAATTATTTAAAAGAAACAAGAGCAGAAATTTTGATCCCTAGTGGCAAAAATCGCAAACTATTCCCTTTTCTCAGCTCTCATGTGCCATTGTACTCGTAGTTACCTTGGGGGTCCATAATGCACATATCATTTTGTTCAACAATAGCTACTTACAGAAGAACAAAGAGGACTAAATATATTTAATTTAAAATTTCTGAGCTACCTTCATTCTGCTCGGACCTAAGAAGTTTGATTTATATCTTAAAAGGTCTTGATCTAACTTTATTTGTTTATATGGACGAAATATACTTAAACATGTAAAATTGTTAGATAATACTATAGAGATACTAAAAATTACATGTTAATTACAAATAGTCGAAGCTAAAGTTTTAGATATAATATATACCTTTCTAGCATTCGAAATGTTAGAACAATATGGAAATCAACAAAAGAGAAATAGCTCTTTTACTCTATCGTTACCACAAAACTAGCGAATCAAGCGTTCTTTTGGACTAAAAGGTAACCTAATAAACATGATTCAGCAGTCATCTGTAGAGCGCAGCTAAATGTTTGTAAGATATATCGTGGGATTCTACAGGGTGAGGGAAAAGTACCGGACCGGTGAAATATCTCGACAAATATAGGAGATACGGAAAAATGTTTCAGACAAAAGTTATACGGTTTTAAAAGGGCTATATAATGGTAAAATAAATTTTCGAAAAAAATAAATTTTTTATGGT